ATTACATAAAAACGAAGAAAAGATATGAAAGGAACATATGTTAGAACAATAAATAGGATTGTATAAAAGATCACATTACACTTTATTGTATCGAGATTCAAAAAATCTAGAATGCATGTCTGATACTGAGAATAACGGTGTATCAATTTACATATAGCATCTAAACATCTAATCCAACTGTCTTGTGGAACCCATTTAGGAAACCTACTGCTCTTCATGTATAAAGACGCATTGCAAGAGACTTTATTTGAGCACCACAATCACTGAAGCTTAGTAAGAATTCTGGTAACTCATTAGTCCGATAATTGACGTATATTGGGGCAAATTAAACACACACTATGGATCCACTTCAAGAATTTGTCATTCACCATCCTAAAAAGAAAGCTAATGTATTTGGCATGCATAGCCATAGATTGTCTAGCCTATGTATCTGTCCAGACCAGCTTAAGAACCATATTTTAAGTAAGGTGAGACAAAAATTTAGAGATGCGCTTATGTTGTGCTCCAGAAGTGTGAAAAGTTGCGAATCATGAAACAATCGTCGAACAGGTGAGTTTTCGAACTATCAAATGCAGAAAAAGTTACCTTCAGAAGCACATTTATGACAGATGGCAATAAAAACAAAAATCTGGTTAAGATCTCTAAAGAATATCACTCCATATAGTGATATCTTAGCAAATTTATCGATAGTTTTCGACATAATCATCTTCAACGTCCTTGCAGTGGTAGTGGTTTGGCATTCGAGAATAGATAATAAAACGATTGCGACCTATCCCACAAGGCTGCATAGTCCTTCCAGAACCATCCAGTTGAGTAGCATGCTAAATACCGCCAACTTAAATCCAGTCTAACATAATGATTTCTGATCTTAGACTGAAAATATACTATTGTATTCACTCTATATTTTGGAGGGTGGTTTGGAAAAGCAAGATAGGATGTCCCATGAACTTGAGTTTCGATTATGTCCAAGTAATCAGCCTTCGCTACTGAGGAATACTTACCAGATGCGTTTTTTAGCGACAAACACCTTCGAAAAGTCGCACAACGTTTGGAATAGAATGAATTCTTCAGGTTAAACAGTAGTTACGTATTCTAATGAAAACTAACTTCTCAAAAACAACCACCAAAGTCGTCCATTATTTGATTAAATGAGTAGCATAAATGCAACATTTTTGAATCTGAACACAACACAGCTGTTTTATAAGGACACTACCTTAAGTTCAAAGGACATTCAGTTTGCACTCAGATTGATGCATCAATGATATCTGCATCAATAGTCAGATACTGTCTCAATTTTCAACCATATTTTAGGCTCAAATGAACTATGAGATCTAAACTTTCGACTTAAACTGAGGCAAAAAATAAATTTTCTTTTCACTTCTAGTTACAACATCCTCCCATAGTTAACTAGTTCACTAGTTACTAGGCGATCCTAAGCCCATATAAAGAGGGAAGGTTGAGCATATGGCTAGCAATCCTATCCCTAAAACCAATCCAATCGCGAAAGAAACTTCAAAGCCCATAAAAAATGTAAAACATAAAAATAAACTTATTCCTCGCTGGAATCGGAGAGACGAAATGACGCCGGTTGGTGAACGCCTACGGTAAGCCAATTGGCCGATGTATCTTGTCTTCTCTCGATCAAAGCAAAAGCAAACGTAGGGACATGGAATATCCGCACAACAATTGAAGCTGGCTGTCAAGGCTGCCCAGATTGCAAAAGAGATGAGAAGATATGGCATGGAAGTGCCTGGAATCTGCGAAGGCAGATGGAATGGAGGTGGACTCTCCAAACTTTCAACTGCAGAGTCAGTAATCTACTCCGATATTGTCACCCAGATGACAACCATGAGCACACTGAGTTTCGGAGTGGCTATCATCATGTCCTCAACAGCATCGAAGGCTCTCATGCAGTGGGAACCAATCTCCTCCAGGATCATGATAACAAGATTCAACTCGAATAGAAGGAAAGTCACAATCGTACAATGTTATACCAGGCACATACAAATAATGCAGACCAAGAGAGGAAGAAGGAATTCTACAGACAACTGCAATCAGTAATAGACAAGACTCCAGTTGGCGACATCAAACTTCTAATTGGTGACATGAATGCCAAACTCGGTGCAGACAACACAGTAAGAGAACTAACCATGGGTAGGGAAGCACTCGGTGAAATGAATGAGAATGGAGAGGTGTTTGCAGAATTCTGCGCATTCAACGATATGGTGACTGGAATCAGTGTGTACAAACACAAGAATATTTACAAGGCAGTGACATGGATTCAATTTCACCAGACATCAGGACACACTACACTGAAAATCAGATCGACTTCATGTCAATGTGAAGAAAGTAGGGACGCAGCCTACTGCACACAAGGCCAGATCAGATCAAGAAGAAGAGCAGATTTAGGTGGTTCACATCACTCATTGTCGAGTGCAAGGAACCTAATTTCAAAATCAAGTTGAAAGCCTTTAATTCAAGGAAGCTGGTGATAGACCACAGTTCAAGTTGAACACCCAGAACAGAAACTGAACTGAAGAACGTAACTACAAAGGAAATCTTCACGGCAGCCATCAGAACAAAATGGGAGATATCGAGCAACATCCCTGAAAAAACCTGTGTGTAAGAACACTGGAAGTCTTTGAAAGAGATGTGGAAAGAAACCTGCACAGCCGTATTAGGAAGGAAGAAAAAAGAAGACAAGGAATGGATCTCGACGGATACATGGAAGCTGATAGAGCAAGGAGAGGAGGATGGTGAAGCAGAAGATAAACCAATGCAAGGATGAACGACGAGAAAAGGAACTGAGTACAATGTATAAAACACTACACTGGACAAATGAGTGAAGAAGAGTGCACGGAAAGACAAAAGACACTTCTACGACACACTTGCAAGTGAAGCAGAACAGGCTGCTGGTAGGAGAAACCTGATATCACTGTATCAAACAGCCAAGTTACAATCTGGGAAGAGATCAACTCAGATGAAACTAATTAAAGATGATGAAGGAAATTTAATTACCGAGGAAGGGAAACAAAGGAAAGGATAGGCTGACCACTTCAAAAGGCACTTGAATCGACCAACACCCGCAACTCATCCAGGAATACGACCAGCAGCCCAGCCGCAGAATTACCAGTAAACACACGCCCTCCGACAAAAGCAGAAGTCCTGAATGCCACAAAACTGCCGAAATTCAGGAAAGCAGCAGGACCGGATGGGATTTCACCAGAAGCACTGAAAACAGACTCAGAGATAACAGCGGACAGGCTCATACCACTACTGCAGAAAGTTTGCAAGAAAGGAAGGAAAGGTACCTGCCCAGTGATTGGAAGAACGGCTACCTTGTCAAACTTCCAAAGAAGCGAGACCTAAGTCGTTGCAAGAACTGGCGAGGAATCATGCTGCTGTCCACCCTAAGCAAAATAATATGCCACATCATCCTGAAGAGACTAAAAGATGCACTGGATTCAAAATTACGACCGGAACAGGCTGGTTGACTGGCTTCAGGAAAAACAAATCATGTGAGGATCAAATTGCAACACTTAGCATCATCATACAACAGAGCGTAGAGCGGCAGTCAACCGGATCTTTACCTCAACTCCATCGATTTTGAAAAGGCCGGGGTTCGACAGCGTCGATAGCTCCGAGAAGTAATTTGGCAGGCAGCTTCTTTAACACTACGGCTTTAGTGCCACAAACCCTTGTCAACCTCATTCAACAGCTATTTGCTATGCTATATGACGCTACATGCCATGTAGGTGATTCACGGTGAAAAGCTCAGTGATGCCTTTGAAGTGAAGACAAAAAGGACTAAGACATGGTTGCCACCTACTATCACCGATTATCTTCCTGATTGTGGTCAACTCAACTGGACTAGATCACACAACAGACAACTGTGAAGAAAGAGAAGATGGGCATACACTGGCTGGGCCCATGAAAAGACTCTAGAAGATTTGGATTTCGCCAACGATGATGATTTATGTCTAATGTTGTGTCGCAAAAACTGGAAGATCTACAGGCAAAAACTAGCAAGTTCATAGAACAGGCAGCGAAGATGGGACTTCGAGTGAGCGTAGAGAAGACAGAAGTGATGGAGATACGCAACCAACAATAACAAGCACCAATCACCATCAACGGGAGAAACCTAAAAGAAGTAGTCTCTTCCACCTACTCATCTAGGTAGGCAGCATCGTTTCGACTACAGGCGGTGGCGACACAGATGAAGATGTCAAAGACACGATTGGAAAAGCAAGACAGGCCTTTATTAACCTGAAATCAGTGTGGAGATCTACTGCACTCCACTCCACTCCACTCAGCATAAAGCGTGAACGAGATCCAGATTTTAAACACTAATATCAGTCAAGTCAGTACTTCTTTGTGATGGTTGAGAGACTAAGTGTGTTACGGAAAGCATTTCCAACAAACAACAGACATTCATCAACAGCTGCATATGTTCGATACTGGAGACTGATCAGATGGTCAGAAAGAACAAGCAACAATGAACTCTGGACTGGCAATGAACCAACCAAGAACCTATCGCTCAACAAATATGCAGAAGAAAGTGGAGATGGGTGGGGTATACACAGAGAAGACCGACTGGGGATATCACGCAGCAGACCCTAGAGGGGAACCCAGATGGGGAACGGCGAGTTGGGCGTCATATACGAGGGTGACATGGAGGAGATCGTGTGAGGAAGAAATGGAAGTTTGTGGGCAGTAGTGGAGCCAGGTTTTGATGACTGCAGAGAAGAGAGTGAAATAGCGAGGTGCTATTGAAGCGGTAGGTTCCAATAGGAACCCAAAGGACAAATAATAATAATAATAATCTGGTTAGAACCACGGAAATAAGGCAGTTGTCCAATTTGAACCATGCCACTTATTCTAAATACAAAAACGGTCTGTTCCATATAGAAACCTGTTTGAATTATAGGGTGTGACACTAGTTTAACTTATGAATATATCTTATCCGTCCCTGCTTATTTTCTGTATTTCTCTCTTCTAAGCTTTACTTTCATTACTCACCAATCAACAATCTGGAATCATTTGAAATGGGTGATGTAACAATCTACATCACTCCTAGAATCAACGTTCCACCTGAGTTGAATATAACTGATATTCTGAGCACACGATCTGATACCAAGTAAGTTGTTATAATTGTTTTTAATTCTTCAACATTCCCATTTATGCCTCATTTATACTAATTGAAAATAGAATCCGTCGACATTGTTGCATACAAATTTACACTATGGGAACATGTAAGTTAAAAGCTATGCTGTGTACCATCGATTAAGTAGATTACTTCGCAGAGGTAAATGAATCAGAAATGGAAAGAACAATCCACCCACTCATTCACTGGTGAGAAATATATTTGAATAATTCAGAACAAGGACAATTCAGGCAAACAGCTGTTTTGAATAGCTCAGGCTTCTACAGCCTATAGAGTTATAAATCCCTAAGAATAGGTAAAAGAAAATAGTCAGTAGGAAGCATAAGGTGAAATCTTTTCAGTATCGAAACATTCAGTGTTATGGGTGAATGCAGATCAAATAGAATTGTAGTAGGTTTTTACCGGGTAGCTTTAAAGCCCACCGTAGCAACCACTAAAATAATTAATCCAGTTTCGGTATTCTGGTCGGCAAGGTAGCTTTTCATAAAATGAAGAAACGTAATCTACTATCTTATCAATTGCTAGGGTGGCCTCTAAAGTCACCCCTCTAAATACCATCCTAGCAACAACTTGAACAACCAGTTAAACTTTTTGACGATGAAAAACTATTTTCCCGACCGGAATACTGAAGTCTAATTGGTTATTTCGATCGTTGGTTGCGTGGGTGGCCTTTAAAGTAGCCCAAAAATTATATGATGAAATAAAAAATAAATTTTAAGTGTCACCCTACTCAAAGAGTGATTTTAAACGCCACCCTAGCTGCGACTGAAACAGACAATTAATTTTCTTCGTTTCTTCTGAAAAGGTAGATTTTCACCAAATACAAAAGTTTTATTGATTGTTTCAGCTGTTACTAAGTGACTTTTATAGTCACTGTTATTCGAATATAAATCATCGCTATATAATGATGACTAGAACCTTAGTAAGTAAATATACATTCACATGTTTCAGATAATCTTCGTCGTTTCATTACGCTGTTTAAGTTTTTCAAAAGGACCAGTTGCATTTAATTTTCAAGAAAAAATGACTCCTTCAGCATACTGATAAAAGGTTAGATGAATTAGTTAACCTCAAGTGTAAAACAGCATATGAACACACGAAGTTGGACTATTACAAATCTTGCATTTCAAATGATGCATTTCTTGGAAAACTTTATAAAACTTTAAGTTCTAGCAAATTATAACTAAATATCTCAAACCTTATTTGAATTTCTAAATCTCATATGGAAAACTGTAGTGAAAATTTCTATCAAATATCATGTATAGACATCATCCTTATTCTTAGAAATTCCTTCAGTTTTCCACATCAAGTTTATTAATTTTTGCAGCCCGGTTATAATAAGAGCAAAGGAAAATATAACGACAAAACTGAACAAACCTTAGATTATGAGCAACCATGTGAATTCATTCCTAGTTAACCTAGACAATTGTGTGACGAATTTACCATTCGTTCAGTTATCTGTTCATGATAAAGAGGTACTCTTACTTAGACTCGGTATTTCTGTCCCTCAAAAACATGATTCTGATTTAACCACCAATGTTCAAGTTTGAAAAACTATTTGATCAGCTAAGCTTACTTGTCCCAACTTCTCCAGATAATCAGAACTGGCTAAGAGCTAAATTAGTAGACATTGTTCATGGGTTTCATAATTTTGGTTCAATGGCAGAGAAGCATCTTAACGCGTGTGCATTTCAAAGCACTCAAAGGATTACGAAATAACTCTGATATTGTTACACTAAGACCCGATAAGGAATAAGGTGTGGTCCTTATGAACAGGTCTGATTATAAAAGTAAGATGTTATCCATTATTAATGATAATAGCAAAATTACGTTAGATGTCCCCTCTGAAGGAATAGATAAATTGAAAGGGAGACTAAACTCCAAACTGGTGAAAATGCTTGGCACAAATTTAGTCATTGAAGATGAATTTAATTGTCCAAAACTTATGGGATCTGAACATCCACATCTATGTTGGTTACCTAAAACTCATAAACCTAACAGTTTGCCACGTCTATGTGTCGATCACCCACACCCACACATAATCTAGCTAAATGGTTTGCAGAGTTCTTGGGTCCTATCAGAAGCCATTTATGTCAGTCATCATTGAAAAATATATCTGACCTTATTGACTGTTTAATTGACATGAAAAGACTATGCACTTTTTCGACGTAAATTCTTTCTTTACTAATATGCCGCTGGTAAAAACAATGGACATTTTATGACTATATGTCTTCTGATAGTCTTATATTCCCCATCCCTCTGAATTTTGTAAAAGATTTATTATTATTATTATAGTTATTATTATTGTTATTACTATTATTATGTACTGACAAGGTTCACTTCACATTCGAAGGTGAATACTTCCGACAGATTGATGGTGTCGCCGTGGGTAATGCATTAGGACCGTTTCCATCTAAGATATACATGTCACATATTGAAAACATGGTTGACGACCCCATCGGAAGGGTTTCACTTTATGAGAAATATTTCGATTATATAGTAATGATATGGGAAAAGCCTAACGATGCGATGTGCCTTCTAGATAAGATAAACACGGCTCAAAATCACATTAGCATTACTTGTGAACAAGAGACGAACAACCAACTACCGTCCCTTAACATATTTCTTAATCGACAGAAGGATGGCTCAATAAGGAGGTCGATCTATAGGAAGCCCACATGGAAAGGGTGATATCTTAGTTTCCAGAATGGCTACCCATTGAAATTTATGGATAGGTGCAAAAGTTATATTGCAGTGAAAAGTATGCAGTAATCCGTTGCTAAGACAACTGTCTACATTCGACTATCATTTAGAAGTGATTCACATAGCTTTATTGTGAGGAAAAGACTTAGTTCAGTCACCTGTAAAACACATTATGCACCCAACATGTACCTAAATGGCTTCAAAAATAAATGACCTCAACGGATCCGATAAATGCAGGTGACAAACGTCCATCTTCATCTATTGATAAATATATACTAGAAACTAATCACAGGGTAGACATAAAAACAGCTTTTAAAGTAATACATAAAACTGGTCAGGACCGTGTGCTTAAATTTACTGGAGCTCTTGACATCCGTAAATTCAACTCCCTTAATGTATACAAAAAACGGTTTGTACTCACGTTGAACATCATACAGAGAGTGATGTGATGAAAATTTTGTTTTTTTTCTACCCTTCCTATTCCTATATCTCCTATTGATTTCACTGTAAATTTTCATATAAATAGTTTGATAAGTTCATGTGATCAGATTGTTCTAAATTTATAGAGCTAATGCATCATATATGTTTCAGATAACTTTCATCTTCGTTACGCTGTTTAAATTTATCAAGGGAATCAGTTGATTTAAATATACATTCCGTTATAAATATGTTTTAGGTAAAATAAATATCTGGTCTCGTAACCCAGTTTGTAAGTCTCCAGACCGGAAACCCGGTGGTCATTGGTTTGCATCCCGCCGTGGCCCAAATTTTCATTTCACCTTTAATCATTACCTAGGATGAATATATTTGTAGAGAATATTGACACAATGATGTTCAATAATTTTGATAATATTTTTGCGCAAACTTACTGCCTGTGATTAAACCAGTCGTTGAAACTATTAGTTCATCCGTTGCTTTCCATATTTGTCATTACCCGTTGCTATACAGGTAGAATTAATCAACTTCTGTCGGGAGATGAGCTGCTTTGTGGATGCCCTGAAACTACCTACTTATTATGTTGATGTCTACTTGGTATACCTCAGCAGGGAGTTTCTAGGCGTGCATATAGGAGCCCGTTGGCCAAGAAAGGTCAAACAATGTGACACTGTATAGCAATGAAAAGCAACAGCCGATGTCTGTTGCACAAGAAGTGACTCTAGTGCCTCGATGGCTTAGTGGATGACTCATTCGTGTGTAAAGCTACGGATATGGGGTTCGAATCCTAGTAGGAACAACATCGCTCACTGCTGATGAGTGTTGAATGGGACATTACGCCCGTCCTGGATTCGATTGCAAGTCATTAAGATGAATACAACCGTATTGATTAGGTTTATAGCTAATAAAACGAAGATTCTGTAGGAAAGTACCACTAGTATAGAGTCAGGATTTTATCCTTAGAGTAGAGTGCAACATGTCGATCCATAATCATTGAAACTGATTAGATAAAAACTGTTAACCACTTTTGCTGAACAAACGTGAAATCCAATCGAAATTTGTTTTTTTGGTAATCAGATACTGAATATGATTTCTCACTTTGGTACTTCCTTATAAAATAACAGAAGGGATCCCTTTCATCTTATTCGGCATTATGTTCTTCTCTTTCAAACACTGATTTCTCAGTACTTCAGCAATATTTTAAACATATCAACAAATGAAGTAGTCACTGTTTGTTTTCTTTTCTTCGATATCCAGTTCATGAAAAAAACAACGTTTTCGATTTAATGATGTGCGTTTAATGATATCCATTTGTATTTCAGATTAGCAGCTGTATAATGAAGTGATAATTTACTTGGTTGTGCCTAGCAGAGGAATCCAGGACACGAGTTTCGTCCTATTTGGGACTCGTCAGCTGGATGTATCTGCACCCCACTGAGTAAGGTCGAACAGTTCGATCCAGTAAACAGTGGAGAACTACAAATATGTCAACAAATAGTATTGTATACTTAGGTTTTTAAAATAATAAAACACCATTTCCCCAAGTGGAAATGCACTCAGCTACCTTGTGCGTACTCAATCAGTACGTAATGAGCCACAACTGTTGTATGACGGTTAATCATACTACCTGTCTACCCAAACCTTGGTAGGCGGAACGGTGCAGAAACTCATGGTGCAATGATTGAAGAATAATTCTCCAAGAGAATGGGGGACAGCTTCACACATTATTTACCAGTCAACTAAAAAATTACTGAAAGTTATTGATTTGTGCGCCATCTGTCCATTACTTGCAATAAGACTGGAGTGCTGAATTTACCTACATCACTAATCATATCCAACCAATTCTTAGCTACTAATACGTTTAAGCATATGCACAGCAATTCTACAATATAACCCATGAGAATAAATCAACAGATTCACCGTCTGGAAAATAGGTAATAAACCTGGTTATTATTGTTTGTTGATATACTTGTGATTCTCCGTTTTGATACTGGATAGAATTGTTCGACCTCTATTAGCTTATGGGCTCCTATACAGATGCCTCGATGTTACATGACTGTTAATTATGGTAATTTGCTTGGTTGTGGCTAGCAAAAGAATCCAGGATGCACGTTACGTCCTTTTGGGACTCGCCAGCTGGATGTACCTGCACCCCAGTGAGTGATGTTATTCCCACTGAGACTCAAACCTCTTACCCATCGCTTCAAACTCCAAGGTCACGGAGGTATTTACGGAAGTTGCTAGTTATTGGATTTTGGTTAGGGTCGATTTTCCCTTTCATGTGTTGATCTTTAACTTTTGGTCGGGTCAAGCTCAGAAGAACGAATCTTACTAATTTCAGCATTCGAACTTTGTTACTGATTTATTGTTCGACTACTGATTTGGTTTCCAGTTGACTGGTCCTTCCTTAGAAATCTGTACATTTACTTTGGACATTATTTTAAGCTTTATTGAAGTATTACAATAATCCTCTATCTTTATATCAACATTGGATAGTCCTGGTTTGAATCGTGCTTTCATTTCTGTAGATTTTCAAACATCCTTGGATGCAGCAGAGTTCGATTCATGACCGTCTAGTTGAAAATAAAGTCTCTAATCTAATAAATCTAGGCTAATTCGTAAATCATAATTTTTTTGCACTTTAAATTTGATTAATGTGTTTGAGTCCATCTTTTTTTCTTCTCCCAATCTATTAGAATTGCCCAGAATCAAACTGAAATGGCTAAAATGGATGAAAAATACTTCAGTAAAAATGCTCCAAAAAATTTATATCTTGTTACAACAGACGATGGTTGGAAAGATCCCAGAGCTACACCGACAACAGTCAATCCCTATCAACCTGAATTGAACATGTATACGGAGAAAAATTTAGAAAATGTACATCATTCTGAATTTTCTTTTTGATTTTCTTTTTTTTGGTACTTCTGTCGTACAATACGTTAACTGGCATGACTTTATGACTGAATGACATATATTATTATTATTTGTCCCTTGGGTACCTGATGGAACATAGGGCTTCAGTCTCCATTCCACTCTGTTCTCTGCAAACTTTTGAACCTGGCTCCAAGACAGCCCACAAGCTCTCATTTCTTCCTCACACTACCTCCTCCACATAACTCTCGCATATGACGCCCAACTCGTCGCATCCCATCGAGGTTCCACTCGAGTACCTGGCCTGGCACTTGATGCCCCTAGTGTGCCCTCTCAGTTTATGCCCAACCCATCTCCACTCTCTTCTTCTGCATATTTTTTCAGTGACATCTTATTGATTGGTTCGTTCCTAGAGTTTCTTGTTGCTTATTCTTATTGTTCTGGTCATCTGAGCTTCAGTAACGAGCCAGTGTAGGTGGCAGTTGTTGATGAATGTCTGCAGTTTGTTGGAAATCCCTTTCGTAACGCGCCAAGTCTCTGAACCTATACATAGCAGAACTGACTTGACGTTGGTATTGAAAATCCGCATCTTGTTCCACATGCTGAGTGCAGAAGATCTCCACACTGGTTCCAGGCTAATGAATACCTATCTTGCTGTCTTTCCGATCCTGGCTTTGATGTTCTCGTCTGTGCCACCACCGCCTGTAGTTGGAACAGTGCTACCCTGCTTAGATAGGTGAAGGAGGTTACTTCCTTTAAGTTTCTCCCGTTCATGGTGACTGGAGTTTGTTGTTGTTGGTGGTGGTGTTGGTTAGGTATCTTCATCACTTCTGTCTTCTCTATATTCACCTGAAGTCCCGTCTTAGCTGCCTCTTCTGTCAACTTGTTAGTTTTTGCCTGCAGATCTTCAAGTTTGTGTGATATCAGGCACAAGTCATTGGCGAAATCCAAGTCTTCTAGGTTCTTTTCCGCAGTCCAGCCATTGTATCCCCCTCTTCTCACAGCTCCCCACTGTTTGTTGCATGATCCAGTCAACCACAATCAGGAATATCATGGGTGATAGTAAACAGCCTCGTTTTACTCCTGTCTTCACTTCAAAGGCATCACTGAGCTTCCCACTCTGAATTACTTGGCATGTAGCATCTTCATATAGTTGTTGAATGAGATTGATAAAGGTTTGTGGTATTCCGTAGTGCTGAAGCAACTGCCTGTCAAATTATTTCCCGGTCGACACTGTCGAAGGCCTTTTCAAAGTCGATGAAGTTGAGGTAGAGTTGAGTTGACTGCCATTCTGTGCTCTGTTCTATGATGATGCGAAGCGTTGCAATACACAACTGAAATAAACTGACATTATTCATCATGCATTCTAACAGGTGGCTGAATTCCTCCAGCCCCTAAGATTCGTCGTATAACTTTAAAACAAACCTCGTGAGATAATTTTGGTCAAGAAGTGATATCAGCTTGAAAGCAATGAATACTATACAGCTTTTTCATCCCATCACTTATGACTCTTTGACAGTGATCACCTTTGTTCATAATAAAATAAGATTTAATCCAGAAATCAAAATTCACTTCCCATACTTTTTAGACTCCCTTTCTAAGTTACCATATGTTATTGTATGAGTTGATTGTTCACAATAATTTAATTTCAGACATTCTGCAGTTCCTGTTGCTGGTACATGTCTTTTGACTAGAAATTACATCACTTAACAGTTCGACTATCCCAGATAGATTTGGTTTGGCAGGCTTGTCTCGATACTGGGTGATTAATTGAAAGTGAAGTAAAAATTAAGGCAGCGGCGGGATTCGAACCAACGGTCTCTGGACTGAATCTTACGACCGACCAAATTTTCACTTCATCTTCAATCATCACCGAGTATGACCACATCACTGTCAAAAAACTGAATGATTCTGTAGTGTGTGTATCAGCCACCTTACTTAAGCAAGAATTACCTTAGATAACTTGAAACATTAGATTATTTAATGACCTCAAGCTGGTGCTTCAGTTTCAGTTATTTAATACGAGACATTTTGACAATTTCTACAGTACAAAATTCAACATCGTATATCTCTTCATCATCTTCACTATCTTTTTCTGTTTTCAGTATTTACTTCTCAATCATATACCATTATATTTATGGGGTGGAGATATTGGTTATTTCGATAAGAACACTGTACACAAATTTATGTCTTCCTCTGGTATAGAATTAATCTTTTGGATGGATAACAGTGGAGTAATGCGTATTGGATATGAAGAACTACCTCGGGATCAGTGGGTAGGTCATTCCACTACATGTTTTTTTCATAGTTATTACCTTCACTATATATTCCTCACAACAAGTTCCTCAAACTAAATTAGAATCATCGGTCACATGTATTTATGACAAATGCTTAGTCAGAAATGTAATGAACATATCGAAAGAAAGATAAACGTATCCAGGGTGAAATATGAGTCTCACATTGTAATTAGCAGCAATAACAAGGTGCTTGATAAAGCAGCTATATACCAACAGTAGCAAAGTGACTTGATTCAAGTGCACAGTCATGGAGGTAATATAGGTCGTGCTGAACAAAGTTACTAAATGAGGCTAGTTCACATCCTTACGTTACTTCCACTTTGTTCTTCAGTTTTGCCCATTGTAACGGATTCTCTAGCCTTGATGGTTCACAATCTAAAAAGAAGTTTACGTCTGAGGTGTCAACTATGATGTAGATAGAATCTAATATGCTCATGCATATATTTTAGTATCTAATAAACTTCAAACCACGGTTATTATGATACTTGTAATTTCCTGTTGCTATACAGAGTCAAACTGTTCGACCTTTGTTGGCAGATGGGCAGGCATATGCTGTTCAAGATGGGACGTAACATGCATCCTGGATTTCTATACTAGTAACCAAGATCAGTTAAAACCACGGCACCTAGTTGAGTAAAATCTGCTTTGATAAGAACGATGGATAATCAACTTTCTTTTCTCTGTGAGGCTTGTATGTACACATTTAGCTCATTAAAAACAAATCATAGTGACCTTTAAAAACCAACCTTATCTTAGCCCAGCTTTAGGATGGAAACACTACGATTAATACCAGCTGAGGATAAACGCGTAAATATCAGTGACGAATGATAAGAAGCACTGAATTTTTTCCTATATATAAATTTTGCCAAGAGTTTATTGTTATAATTACTAAAAAAAGACATAAGTATCTACTACTCTGAACAACAAGAAGAACTACAAAACTACAAGCAGTTAGCGTTATTTATGATATTCTGTGTCCTCAGGTGAATACTTAATGAGTATTTAACTATTAAATATGGTACAGCAAACAGACATAAAAGAAAACATAGTACTCAAACCATTCAAGGATTAATATCCCAGTGTGAAATGATACTCGAAATAAAAGCGAATTACTGGGTTCACATACATAAGTACCAATGAATTATATTTCAAGTTATTACACAATAAACACAGAAACTGAGTCATTAGGTAATAAGTAGACAGACAGGAATGGTTGAAAAAGTGTATACCTCAGAACGAGTACTATGACGGATTAGTGCTTTTTGAGCTTTGATATGCTGTCACGGTTGCTTTATCATCAGAATTTTTGACAACATCAGCACAAGCTTCATAAAGAAGTGAAGCATGTTCATATGTTACATGGATGTTTAGACTACTCCAGATGACTTTTAACGTTGTCCAATTATGAACAAATGGAAAACATTCTGATAGCATTTAATCTCTATAACCTTACATTTTGTTTGACCATGCTATTTGTTACTATTACAGTGTGCTTCATTATTATTTCACGCAACGCTGATATATTGCTGTTCTCTTCCTCAGTACATTGTAGACTTGGTTGTTACTCATATATCTGTTGAGTGATTTCTCGTCTGAATGCCATACTTCTAGAAGTTCGTTAGCAGCTTTTGAACCTACCTTTTATAGGATTCCTACATTCTCCGAGTTAAACTAGTGATGATAGTGCATACACACACTGAAGCTAGGTATGATGCATATTGTCACTTTACTGTTAATTAATGCTCACTGAGAAACCAGATGGCTGGACTTACCAGGGTAGTACTGCAAACAATCTTCACAGCTGACTTCGCAAATTATATTTGTCCTGTCTTTATCTGGAACGGATCCTCTGAATTGCAACACATATTTCGCAGTGATTTCTTCAGTTTATTTACAAGTTTATTCACGATCAGATGAAGCAGTCGTTGACATACAACATGTCTTATGGTCTTCAGGGTCATCGGTGTGTATGAGTTTGCAAGATTCTGTTGTACGCTGTACTGATGATAACAATTAAGGGCGAAACTTCATTCATTTATTTTTCCTCTTCTTTAAATCGAATATCTTTGTGTAATTGACTGATTAGTTTGGTAGCGTTTTTATTTCATCTTTTTCGAATGATTTAAACAATGTACCCTATTTAAACACTTGTTTTGTTAAGAACAATAACCACTGATTTCCAGGCCTGCATCACTGCTTCAGCTTCGGCCCTCACATCAACGATCCCATTAATGTCTGTTTTGTTTGTTTTCAAGTTCTGCTGCTTAACTGTAAGTAGTGGAGACCTACACGGAAGTAAACCGATTCAAAAATTGAAAGGAGAGTTAGATATTGGACAGATATGTGTTCCGGAAGTTGGTTTTAAGCCATAGACAGAAGAGATTCCTGCACAATACAACATATATCGTTTGTCAGACATCCAGGTGTTTTGCCATTACCAGAATCGGCAGTACTACTGGAACTATCAATCCTCCTAGTCACTCAAATGCATCAAGACAAGTGTCCATGAGTAATTAGTCCTTAAAATTCAGTTGGTATAACTTCACACTAAACACATTTAGGTTAATAATCCAGTGCTAGTTTATAAGGTTCATTGACCCAAAAATAGTAGAAAAAGTGGTTAAATACGTTGATCGTCTCACTGTTCTAGGTAGTTACATAAGCTTTAAATGATTGGCGTATATATAAAACACTCTTCTACCATTTTCTAATCGACAGCATTTATGGGATCACCAGGATATTCAGCCATCTTTCTGAGGCGAAGTATACTATTCATACGACCGCAGATGTCATGCAATACAGCTATAAAAATAACTTGTAAAAACTGAGGACGTTGGGAGGTTACGACTAGTTGATCAAATATGGTTAGCACTTGCTTTAGCCGTCTAGCAAGAAACTTTGTAAGTCTCAAAAGACCAAGGCCCCGAATACTTGTGTAACACAATTCAAGCGAACGTTTACCATGACCCAAGAGTATAAATGATATATTAAGGAACTAGAAGTTCTCAGAATACTTATGGTCCGGGTCCGGAAAGTGATACCAGTTTTCGATAATACCACATTCACCTTACTTATCTCCAACTATCCAAGGTAACTATACTGGTCACTGTCTCAAATTCTACTTACTAAAATTTAAAAATTAACTTATCAGATGAATATCTTAATTAGTGAACTGAAAAGTGAATAAAAATGTTGAATAACTACAAAATGTCCATATCAAGAAACATTTTTATGAATCTACATAGATATTCATTTAAGTATTTAGTGTTCATTCATGTAATACTGTTCTATCTTTTAGAAAAATGAAAAATTAAACTATTACCTATTGAATGTTCAGTGTATTTGTTAACTTTCAATATCTTCGTTTATAAGTAATGAATGAATGATAATGTACTGAATATTTACCGTAATTGTTTACACACTATACATCAAAACAAACCTTATTAGAATTAAATTGGATTGATAATTGATAAATAATATTGTGTAGCAATAAATTATCAGTTTCATACTTTTAACCTTCCGTTTATTAATTTATAAGCCTATATGAATTCTGATTTATTTATAAGAATTGCATAATTTTTGAATTAGTGCTAGTGTTACCTCATATATCGACAAGATATATAATATGTTTAGTAGACAGGTTTTTAGTTAACAGACAGATGAATCCTCGTGAACACCCACACTTCCACGCAAAGTCTTCTGAGCACTTCGAATGATGATTTGAGAATGTTCTGAATGCGTTTATCCTCACGCAAATTTTGACTTCACTACTGGTCCACGTTTATACTTTGTCTGGATGTAGGTGTAGAAGTGACGAAACGCACTGACCATTTCACTTACTTAGGAACCCAGATGAATCATGTTGAATCGGTAACTGATAAAATCTTTACTTGGATACAGAATACTCGATTTTAGTTTCCTGCCTATGCAATCTATCGTACCAGCATGAAATCCAAGTGTAATGCACAGTGATTTGCTCTGTTCTTGTCTGTGACTGTGAAACATAGATTTTAAGGATAGAGAGAATGAGAAGGCTTAAGGTGTTCAAACACCGTTGTCTCCGTAAAATAGGCCATATGTCATGGGATCCGGAAATCCCTAATGACGAAATCAAATATTGAAAACGAAATACACTCAGCAACCTTATGCACATTACTACAGTAGGCAATAAGCCATAACTGTTGTGTGAGGGAAATGGATACTACCAGCTGGCTGTGCGAACCTTGATAGGTGAAGCTGTGCTCGAACCTGTGACTCATAGGTTGAAGATCGAAAACGAATAAATCACAACCCCATGAGATCAAGAGTAGAATTTTAGGTAGAAGAGGTTAATCACTTGATAAGATTGTGAATCTTGCTGAACTCAGATAGTTAGGAAATGTGTTACACATTTTTAGTCACCGTTTACTCTGAAGTGCGATGTCACCTGAAACTGGGTTAGGTCAGAAAAAGGTTAAAGGCAGACAGAATAATACATAGCATCAGTCCACAAGGTCTCCTGTCTTTGGTCTGAGCTATGTAGCTAAACATAGACTTTTCAGGTAGGAATCCATGTAACATTTGAAACCGGTAGCTGGAAACTAGGTGTGTGACATGGCTTAGAATCGATCTCAGTTACACAGATACATCTACACATTATCTTCGTCATAACCGTCATATCACATCTGGTTATTATTTAGCCTTCCCCGCTTCATTTCCCATTATGGCTAACAACGATTTCTGAATACTTTCTGTCTTATTTGTCAGCCTTTAATTATGTTACCTTCTACTTTAATGTACTTATGTGAGGTGTAGCAGCATACTCGGTTACGCAGTGACACCAGGTTCCTTGTTGATATCGACTGACTGACTGAAATTTACATAATGAGCGAAAATGCTAACAGGAGTACACGTTTTTGACTCCTCTTTGGTCTGAGCTCATGACTTTTAGACTTAAGAGCAACTAACTGATCCAATCCAACTTGTTGACACTTTAAGCCTCACGATGTTCTTCGAAGTATTAAGGGTTACTAACCTCGTAGGTCACTTAACTGTTCCTAAAAGAGGCTTTTTTCCAAGGTAACTACTATGTATCAGGGAATTTATTAAGTTTTCAAAACAGTTAGTACTGGAAATTAGAACCTAATCCAGTAACTATCTTTAATGACGGTCAATTTCCGAAAGGTCACTGGTATCAGTTTTTCTTACTTCTAAACGCACGTTATACTGGTAATTTTAAAGCTATGGAAATACTGGATGACCATTTTCCTTGCTTAGAACCAGTTTCACTAACGCTACACATGAAATAACTCAATTTACATATGAATATTGTTTAAACTCTTATTCTAAATAGCTAATTGAACAAACCTATAAAAGACAGAGTCACTTCAAGCGATTACAAAATTTATCATCAGGGATGAGTATAGTAAAGTTAGGTTATATCAAGTTATAAAACACGAAGTGATTTTCTCTGAAACTCTTAGTGATATGAGTGAAAGTCAGATCTAATCGACAGTTATGTATTAGGTGAATTACCTGAAGGCTTTTCTTTTCAATGCTACCACACCCCACACCCTCATCTCTACTAATTTTATTCACCTTCATTGACTTTTATGTCCTTCATTTATCGCGTGTTGATTTTCACTCTATGCTAGATTGTATCTCCTTTGTGTCAGACTTTCAATTTATTTGTCTATTTGTTAACTAATCCACTATTTATATGAATCAATAATACTTTCATTGGTCAGTCAATTAATTTACTACTTCATACCTTTGTTCAGTCTTTGTTTTCCTTTCCATCTATTATCTAGCCTAAAGTAATTCGTTGGAATCTACATGCTCGTGACGGTATAGTCTGGTTACTAGATGGTATTTTAAAATGTCCTGAAAAGTTATGCCCACTACTCGTTGAAGATGTTGATTACTATGACGTTTACGTAATGGCTTGTCAAACATCAAATCTACCAGGTGAAAAAGATCCAGTTCAACAATTTGAGAGTAAACCATTGGATATTGCTAATCGACATCCTAGTCTATGTACTGTGGTATTGCAGACAAGTGAAAAAACTGTAACACTTATTGAATCTTAATAATTGTCGATTAAAGTAGTATTTAATGAAGATTAGAATGAATGTTAACAAACTGTATAACCTGAAAATTTGTTTTTCACTAATTTAGACTTATATTTTATCAAGAATAAAAATGAAATATTCATAATTGATATGTTAAATAAAAAGTGCAAAATATGAAAGTAATTAATGCGATAATGCTTTATACTTTTCTTAAATGAATTTAAGTAGTATCACTAATTCGACGAAAGTTCTTCAGAGTGACTAAAACTTCTTGCAATTGCAAGTGGGGTTTTTTTCCACAACTCAAGAATTATATTATAAATGATAAACTTTCTTCCACAGACGCCTACTTCGCTGATAAAAAAAGACATAATAAATGAGTAGTGGTATATTTAGAGGTTTGCACTGTTGTATTACACCCATTACAAGTAAAGTTCAGCTATATTGTTCATAATATGCCTTATAGATGTAATCATCGTGTAGATAATTCAAGAATGCAGCAAAGAATAAGAAGTGAAAAGTTAAACAAAATGAGTTTTGTGCTGTGGATGACAAAACAACCTGGATAAGTTGAGAAGTGCAGAAAATTACTATTCTTGGAAAAATGAAGAGAAAGAGTACATTGATTTGCCACTGGATAGTAGTCAATTTCACGTTGTCTAGTTCTAAGTGCTGAAGGAATTCTATAGATCATTTTGCAATGTGGCCACCAGGCTAGTTGTTTCAACATTGTTGTGCACTTTGATAGGTGTCAGTTGGATGGAGACAATCGACAGGAAGCCCTGGACCTAGGTTTCGTACTTGTTGCCACTCATCAGCAAGGCGTATCTGCAACCTCGAGGGAACTGATGTCCCTCCTGAGATTCGAACCAGCGTCATCCAGTGCTGCAGTCAGAGGCGTTGCCACTGATATATTTGGGCAGCAAATGACCTCCTACAGGATTGGATTAGGCATATTGATTGGTCACTGAAGAGTGATCAACTTCATGGTGCTTAGAGGTTGCAGATATGTCTTGCCGACGAGTGTCAGAAGGTATGATGTCTAGATCCAGAGCTCCCTGCTGATCGCCTCCATCCATCTTAAAAAGAGAAAGAGTACACATAGCATCTTCCTAAGCAAAGATGATACCTATAGTTCTGAATAGCCTTTCTAACTATGATACACACAATGCATATCGGTAGGACCTCCTTGGCTTGCAGTTGATTTTGAACAAACTTCTATTGTCGCCAAACATCTAGGGATAGTGAGAATCTTTTAAATACAGCTTATGAAGTTAGTCTTTGATAAACAAAATCTCGAGAACACCGGTTTGACAGCCTACAGTTTCACATACGGCTTGGACTGGCTTAACTCTGCTCTGCTTTGGGAAAGGCACTAGTTCCATTTGTGGAAGTCATATCTTGATTATATCATTTTGTGCAAGTTTATAAGCATATTCGTAGATTTGCATACTGTATTTGGAACTCGACTAATTACATCGGCTTGTTTTTTTACTGTTAGTTATGCAGTTAACATAGATGGAGCAGGGTTTTCAGTGCCAAACAAGAGTTCTGTAAACACTCTCCAATCTCTTGAGAAACTAACCCATCACTGTTTGTTCAACCTCCTGAATTGGTGACTAGATCAAAGCACCTAACTAACCCATTTGCTATTCTTGAAATAACTTCTTTTGTGGACTGAGGTCATAGCTTCATCATAGTCAATTTGGACAAGCGTTTCAAGGCAGAAAAACCAACTTTGTTCTTGGATTGTTTTGCAGTAGCTATTCCTTTTTACCGTTTGTGACTGAATATGAGAATATAAAATCACTTGCATAACCAATTAACATTCAGCATCTTAACTGGGATTGAGTATACACCATTTACTCAATAAAAGGATGAATTCGAACACGGTTTGCATCTTCGACTGACATTATCTACAAAAAACTACTGAATACCAGAATGATTTGTAATCGTTTTATCCTAATTCCCAACTTTTTAACAGTATTTATAATATAGTTGAACAATGAATGCTAAAAACGCTGATAAATTCATGAAAGCTTCCCAGTTTCTGCCTCTCTGTTACATGTAGCTGGTGGTATCAATTGTCCACAAGACCCGGGTTCGACTTATGTTTGAAAATGATCCTCATTTGGTTCAGAATTTCACAGCGTTAGAGTTGGATTGACAAGCACATATGGGAGTTGTTAGGTGTGGAAACTTATCATCAGGGTTGCCAAAAATCGCCCCCCGACTGGAGAATACAACCCTCAAGGTCTCTGAGAAGGAAGTTAAATTTAGTCAGTTGAAAACTTTTCTTAATGTAAGCGTAGAATTCGGGCAATGTGGTGAAATGCAACTCCATATTAGATTAGTCGATTTGCTATAGTGCGCAATGACATTTTAATCTAATAGACGATGTTTTGAAATTCTTTGTTCCAAAATATCACCAGCGAAGTGACCCACGAAATCAAAGTTTATGTATAGTATCCTTTTTGAAGTTGAAGTGGGTATCTCTATTTCTGGTATAGATCTTATGACTTTTTCCACAAATCTTGCTGGATATCCATTTTCTTCTAAGCGATCAATCAGTGTTACGAGTCTTTCGAATACAGTGTTCGACCTCTACTATTCGCTTACCCACTCTGTTAGAATGACACTTCTTAAAAATTTTTTGTTGATAACCAATACTTTATTGAATCTTGTTACCTCTTTTTTGAATTTAATGGACGTTTTCCTGACCTGTCAGTTGTATACTATAAATTAGTTTTGAAGTGGAAAGAGATTTTAGGTGTTTGCTTAACTTGCTTGTTGAAAGAGTGAACTACTACCTCTGATTATACTTTTTATGCATTGTTAAACCCTCCTGATTTTTCCCCTTGATTATACTTGTGAATTCAACAGTTTTTTGTACGAAAGTTTCATATTTAATTTGGAGGGTTGCGGGGATTTAGTGAGTGGTCGATGGTTGGTGAATGCTAAGTTGTAATCATTAAATCCCCACAAACCTCCAAATTAAATTGACACAGTGCCTATCGGTGACTAACTTCTAGAGGCGATTCCTGAAGTTTTAATAAGGAGTCATGATCAGTTGGGCAAACCTAGTGGCCGTGACGGTAAATACTCAACGATGACACTGGGTGATGGTTGCGCTATGGTAAGTGCTGGCCACGGTACCTGGAGGTCCTAGTTTCAATCCCTGGCGGGGTCGTGGTTGCGCACTGATGAGTTCCATACTAGGACGAAACAGATGTCCAGTGCTCCCAAGTTTCCTAAGTTCCTCCAACTGATATTAGTCCATGATTAATAGCAATTTGACGTTCGATATTTGTCAGTTTTTTTTCTTTATAAACATTTCACTCGCAGTTCCTTTTTATAAACTTCAATTCGCTTTAGTCAGGTCAACATTAGTTTTGATTTGAGCAGTTATTGATTGAAACTTTTTTTAGAAACATTTTGCTGTGTGACCGACAGAGTAGCTTCAAAACAGACGGTAATTCTTACAATATCGCATGCCATCAGCTAGCTGAGACTAGAAAATATCAGTCACTGAAATCAGATCTAATTCTTTCAGCTGGAAAAATCTTAACAGAGAAACCTTTAGTAATTTTTGATCCAGGTCATAAATAAGTAGCACGAAAGAATCCTGGACATGAACTAAATGAAATCTGTTGAAGCTGATATTTCTTGTGGAGAAAAAACAGTAGTGGTAAATCTCAGTCCTTTGTTTCAAAATGAATATCAATACGTTTAACTAAACAACAGAATCAGACACAGACAATAGACCAGTTACATGTATAATAACCTATCAGTTAGTCAGTATTAACACAGGGCCTACCATCACTGAGTAACAGTCCAAATTACCACACCTCATATCAACACATTAAAAAACAAAAGGCAGCAGGATGAAAGATAGAGGGAGTAGTAAGATGACAGTCATAAGGGGTGGAAAGTCGTGAAAACAGCATGAGAAGGATTGAAACAATAATGAAATTCGGTAAGACGATTAAGATGGTGATTTATGGATGCATCTTAGTCACTGAGGCACATTATCATTTACTGTCTCTAATCTCCGATTTCGGTTGTCTTACAGACTTCACTCGGAAGTCTATCTTTCCATATATCCATCAGACTAACGGCTATAAACTTCATAGGCTGATGACGTACTTTAATCTGTCCACCTCTAACCTCTCCCCAGTGAATATCCACTTCACCTAACACCATGCGATGGGCAGACGGTGACTAGGCATGCATAATGCATGTTGCAGCCATCTAAGTGAAGAAGGTTCATAACCTCATTATGTGGCTTTCCTCCTCTTTCTAAAACTCTACGTCCAACTTCTACGGAACTGGAGTGATGATATCACGTCACATGTCTCAAGCTACGTATGCGATGTTAGTCGAACGCTTGAAGTCTTCTCATGTCCTCTGCCTTCACTGACCATGATTCATAACCGTGAAGTTGAACAAAGCTATCGGTAGTGTGGTACATTCAGCCATTTAAAGGTGATCTGACATCTCATAAGTCCCATTGATGGCATAAATTGGCAAAAGCCAAGCTAACTTTTCATTTCGATGTTCAGATCTTTCCTTCACTGACCCATCAAGGCATATCCGGCTTCCTAAGGAAGTGAAAGGGTCATCGCTACCAACCGCTTCTCTTTCTACTGCTAAATAGGGCACCAAAAACTATCAGTTATGGAACAGCAGTTTACATTTGGGTGGTGGGAAACGCACACCAGACATTTTCGAATTATCACTCTATGTGTCCAGAAGAATCTGCATCTTGTCAGTATCTTCACTTAAAAGAACCATGTCATCCGTGTGCTCTAGGTTTACCAAGCAGTTTCTTGTGACCAGGTTCCGTAAACCTAGACGAGGAAGAGGATGAGGAGGAGACCTCTATGAGCGAGTCTCCAATAAAAGTGAAGAGGAATGAAGATAGTAGACATCCTTGATGGATGCCGCTTGATATAGGCAACTTACATGGTAATCCACCATGGGCACTGACATGCCTACGGGTGTTCAAATACAAAACCGTCAACAAGATGATGCACTTACACGACACCATGTTTCATTGAGAGACAATGTCATAAGACCTCTTGATCGACGCAGTCGAATGCCACCTTCAGGTCAACAAACAGATTTGGTACTGAGATATACAACATCTTATTTCAACTAATTAAACGCAACCTCAGAACGGTTCCAACTGACGG